TTTTTTTTTTTTTTGTAAAATGTATTATTTCAGCTCTGATCCTCAAAATATTGTCTATGATCTATAAGATGGTGCAGAGCAATACTTATGCAACTAAAAGGTAACAAACCACATTTCTGTAATCTCAAAGTTGTATTTTAGAATGTTATTGTGAAAAGAGCCTGTAGGATGCAAACCTGTAGGATAATGGATTCCTGTATGTCAAAATGCTTTAGGTTGAAATGATTATTCATATCCTTGATAAAATTCTCATAAGCCTACAGCTGTTTCTGTATTTTAATTGCAAATACAATATTTTGCCTTGATAGGGATATATATTATTCAGACACACAACTGTTTGGTAGCCAAACTATTGTGGACAACATAATCAATGACATTTCCTGCATGCTTAAGATACCTCGGAGAAGTCTACATATAGTGAGTGGCTGATTATTAATTTCTTTATCATTATTTTCAAATCATATAGATTGAACTGAAAGCTGAAACAGCAAGAAAAGTTATCATTAGGAAACACATAGTTAAAATGAAAAGCGTTTTTTGTGCAAATGAAAATAGCCCTCAAAATGTTTCTTTCTCCAGAGAAAACTCATAGTTTGCTTCCTCCAAAGAGTTTGGGACAAACTGCCAGCTAAAATCACAGGGTGTATTGCTATTATGCTATTAAAATCCAGAATGCAAGACATTTAGCAATTTGTACTCAAATAATTTGCTAACTTGGGGGTTAAATGAAAATTTCAAGTACATCAGAAATGTAAAAACCTTTCAAATTTCCTTGTATCTCATGCTTTACAAGAAGTCCTTTGTATCTAAAAATACAGTTGTTAACATCACTTGTAACTATGGCTTTACATCCACGAGTAAAACAACATTGCCTAGTGCTTAAAAAGGTGGATGGCAGTCAATAACTGTTTATTGCCACTCAGAATTATTCTCAGAAGTTTCTTGTTTTGCTTGTGCAATGTAGTAAAACAACAGCATGTAACTCTCCATGCACTGAATACAGTTTACTATTTTTTTCAGCTCTCTTCAACTAAAGGTTTTGTTGCTGGTAATTTAAGTTACACTGAGGAAGATGGGACGAAAGTGCATTGCAGCTGCAGTGCAACAGTATGTATATGCAGCAGAACAAAATAGTAATTCATAGCAATTCTGAAGCTCAACTATATACTCATCAGGAATATATCCTTTGGGTATGGTTTTTAGCATTACCTTTTACCACAGGAGCCTTGCAGAGGAAAGTGTATCTTAGACTTTATATTAGAATGTTCTGTCAAATCAGTGCTTTGAATCAAAGTCCTGAGCAGTCCAAACATACTTTGTTTCTGTCACAGTAGATTGATTTTCTGGCAAAAAACCAATTCTTACAGCATGAGTTAACATACACATGTGGTCCTTAGTGACCTGCTTCTACCACACTGGGCAGACTCCTCTAGTAGCAACAGAGATAGCAACATAATTAGAGAAAGAAATATCTTTCCGGACCCAAATTATGTTCCATTTGCAGAAGCGTAATGATGATACTTCATCAGCATAAGAGTTGCCATTGGCTTCATGTGCTCAGCACTGAATAACCAAAGGTATATAATATCAGGCTGTTTGATCTCAGGATTATCACTTATACAGGAATTACAGACAGTAGAAGGGCTTGTATCGTCAGCTAATTCTGTCAAAAGTGTTAATAAACTAAAGAGGAGTTTAAAACCATGGTTTTGTAAGAGTTAAAAGCCAAAGGGGCTTTGAGGAGATGGAATTCAACTAATCTAGTCCTGAAAGATTTCCTACAGTCATGCAGAGTCTGAAAGCAGGAACAGAACTCAGACTTGCTGACTGTTGTCGTGATTTCCTGGAACATGGGCTCATTGAAAACCTAAATTGGTAAAATCAAAATGGAAGGACAACCTTAGCTGCCTGTTATACTTGGTTTTCAGCAGAGCATAAAGACCCCTGTTATTAATGCTCTTCTACAGCCCTTCATATTATTTGTTGAGGTGTTCCATGCTGGCATGAGAGTTGATTTAACAGTCACAAGTAAAAACAGACCACACACTTCGATATATACATATTCAGTTCTTCCTCCAGTTCCTGTTTTCTCATCCATATGCTTGCCAGATTGAGCCAATCCTAATATGAGTTGTAAAGTAAACATTACTATGTCTTAAAATTGTTGCTTCAAAACAGTTACAAAATCAGGTTATAGGTTAATAAAAGAAATGATGTAACCGTCTTCCAAAAAGAAGACATGGACTTCTTTTCTGGCTAAGACAGATAAAAAAAATAATCAGGACATTATTTCTCTAATGCCCATGTGATGAACAATCTTCTGTGACAGTAGAACAAACATTTTTGAAAAGCATTTTGTTGTCATGGGATGACTCCTTTTGCAACCATACAATACAACAAAACATGAATGGTAGAATATGCTTTTAAAGAGGTGAAAATGTCAAGGTTGGTCTTGTATACAGAGGAAGAATGATTGTTTCAGGATGTAATTGTGTCCTTCATTACCTAATGTTGTTATTTTAAAATATATCATTTTCTCTATTTAAAATTATTAATATCATTTTTGTTGTTTTAGGCAGTCACTGTGCCATCTAATGTTGAAGGAATTAGAAGTATCCTTTGAGCAAGAACTCCAGTTGTAGACTGGAAAAATAAAGTAAAAACAAAGAATAATCCAAGTTAAACAATGTTCTTGTAATTTTTTCTTTGCTTGTTGGCTCTGAAACAGAGTCATGAACACTGCTTTTGGCTCCAGAACAGGTATTTTAGAGCTTTTAGTTTTAATTGATTGGTGTGATGGATCATTTTACATGCAGCTAGCCTTAACAGAAAAGATTTAATCTCACATGCCAAATTTATGTTAATTGTAGAAAAAGATGCAACTTTTCAGAGACTCCTGGATGATGACTTCTGCAATAGGTTGTCCCCATGTATAATGATTACGGTATGGATCTTACATTTCATGCCATCTAGCTAGACATAAGAGTTTAAATGATACTTTAGCATTGTTGTGGTGCTCAAACTTGGTCAAAAGGCCATAATGAAATTAATATGAAATGTGTCTAACAGTTTGGG